GATGGCTAACTAAGGTCTGTGGACTAAATAACTACTTGAAGAAATGAAGAATTGGCGACAGAAGCAGAAGGCCTACTCAACAACCAAACTGCACAGACAAAGTGAATCTTGTGGAATACAACCTTTGAATTTTATGTTGAAAGGATGATGAGATATCCTAAATCAGTCAAAAATTGCAACTCAAATTCTACTTGAATTCAAACGCTGTTATAAGGTGATTTATCAGGCCTTCTTTGACGACACCCAAGCTAATCCTGAGTTTTGACATCCAGATCCGCATGGTAAAAAACTACCGAAGTCTTTACTGTTCAGAGATGGTAACCTAATAATTAGATGTACTCATTGCCTGAAATAAATGAAAATCCAGCTGACGGCCTGACTAAACACAACATATTGTTTGGCAAGGCAAACAATAGCAGAATTGTATGAACGCAGAGTATGAAGCGCAATTTTTCGACCAGCTGCACTCAGACACTGTGTGGGTCTGCAGTGTTGCAATAATTTTAAAAATGGTGGATTTGATATCCGGGTCTGCTTTCAGCACGTGATTCACAATTACCGAGTTAACACACTCCATTCAAATCCCCTGAAGAGAATTTTTGATCACCCTGTGAAATTCTGATCTTTAAACTAGAACAAATGTGTTTCGCAATTGCAGAAAAACCCGCAGAATTTGCGATAGAATGGTCTGTTGAGGTATATATTAATGGTGGAAGAAACTATGTATGATTTTGCAGCTGGAGTTCACGGTAGACTGTGACCTCTGGCATACAAAAGTAGCCGTATGATTAGTGGATGGCGTGTGTGGGAATGTGGGGCTCGTTGTACCGTCAGCGCAGGCCTCTTACTGGGTCACATTTGGTTCTGTACTCTAAGATCCTCTCCGAATGCACCTTATTGAGTGATCATTTTCTCTGTTTTGTACAGTCATGATCATAAAGCATTTAGTTCATCTGAGGCAACGCTTCCACATGAACCTACCTGTAGACAGTTGGTTTGAGTCTTTATATCTGCGCATACTGCCCAAACTGCTCTTTAGAGATATGTGAACTAATCTACCAAAATGAAAAGTGTTTGTAAAGCACTGACAGAACAACCGAACGCTTGAGCATCACGCTAAAAATTCGTGCCACGAGTTAGTTCCAAGTTATCACCACAACCAAAAATAGAAGGTGATCACCTCTTTCTACTTTAAAAGTACTAACAAGTTTGAAAATGCCGAATACATGCAAGTGGAATGATGAACGAAACGGCTATAGATATTTTTCGCCTATAAAATTTTGCATCGGCTTTACAGAATTGATTCCTCAAGTTGCTTTTCAACGAAGCCTATGATCACACTATTTGCTAAAGTGCGAAACCGTCAATTTCAGGGTGTAATACTTCTGTATATACCAATGGAATTTTAAAAAATAGCGTACCTAAATGTACCAAGAATTTCGTTTTAGGTAGAAATTTGTGCGGAGAATCTAGTTCCTGCTTACAAAACCGCATCCTATCGCATCTATCAACTAAACAGTGTGCCACAGAACGGTTAAACCTATTGCTTTGGGCCACATTCAGTATATCTACAAGCTACCAACCTAGTTCCTTCGGAGAACGTTAAATAAACAAAATAAAGAGTAGTTGTATAGTCATCTTGATTTTCGGGTTGCTACCCCAGTTCGTTGGAGAACGATCAGTTACGAAACATTCAAAGCCCGTTGTTTGCTTTCGGAAAATTCTGAGATGTACAATAAAAATCTAAGAAAAAAAGCCTGTTATTTTTTACTACATATCTTCCTGATAACTGCATAATAGACGTTATTCCGGGCACTGTGGAAAAGGGACAGCTTTACGATAGACCACCTCGTTTCCAAACTCCCTCTTGAACAAAGTGAGTTTCTATTGAAATCGCTCTGAGAGTCAACAAACCCCCCGGAACAATACAGAAAGCAGCCTTTAATAACTAAATTACGGTTTCTTTTTGGTAGATATAAAACAGTGAACATCCCCCTTAAGAACATTCTTCCTATCGCTCGGAATTACCATCCAAACTTAGCCAAACGTTCGATGTAACCACAAAACTGTCTACAGCGTAAGCACGTTGTACTTGAAGTAAACTGGCCTGACCAAATAGGATGTTAGACTTCGTGTTGGTATGCCCTTTTGTAATCTGTCATTTTTTGGTCGAGAAAACAAAAAAAATTTAAAAGAATACTTTCAAGCACTTAAATATTTGGTGACAGATGCCTGTCTACTGGATTGCAATGCATTTTTCTGAAAAAGTGGGGATTTGGTGGTCCCCGATAAAACCGCACACTGTCACAAATTTTTCCCAAATTAAATTGCACGCCTAACACTGATGACCGATATACGGGCTCATCATATTGTCACAACCTGTACTGAATACATCCTGACTTTACTTTATCTAACAAGAGATTCTTAGAAAAAACATAGAAACCTAACATCTTTGAATAAGTAAAACCAAATGGTTGTTTTTTTTATTTCAGTTTGAGGAAGACATTTTTGCATAAATCGATGTTGTTTTCTATTGCCTGATGTCATACAACTTTTTTGCCCCATAGCTACTCCGACTGCTTGATAGGTAGGTAAATGCATGCAGGCGGTAAAAAATTTGGAGAACCACGCTTTATCTCACGACGTGCAAGGACTACTGGTTGAATTTGAGTATAGGTTTTGTTACCCTTGAGTGTTATGAGCTGCGCTGCGATATTAAGTTTAGGCATATAAAAATCAAGATTGGACTACATGTTCGTGGATAATTTGTTGCTCTTACCCGTATTTAATATTTTTTTCAACAAGGAAACCATTTTTTATCGAACCACCTTATTCGCACTAAGTAAATTCATATTCCGCCACGGACACCCTAGATAAAGTTGGTTTTGTTGTTTAATCCACCTGCGGGCCAATAAAATCCGCAAGGTTGGACCAATGGGGAGCATCTGTTGCGCAGTTCTTATCAGATAAAGGTTTTGCCCTTGGAGCTTGCTGTTGTGAGCAAGACGCAATATACTGCTACACATGAAAACACTGTAACGACGAGTCTTTTATGATAACTGATGTCGAGTTCAGTGGTGCCGACTGACTCTTCACTATATACTTCATAAGTCTGGAAAACCAAACATCTTCAACCAATCTAGATATTTGAAACAAATAAACACGTGCTCGGCTGGCTTGGTTTCACGTATCAATGTTGACAATAACTCGTCCTATCCTGGATCTCATGAGTTTCGCGGTAAGTTTTTTCCGTTTTTCATCAGTTACCTTTTGTAAGCAGCTAAACACCCACGACTGAAATCCTTTGTGTTCGTGTCTAGGGAGACCAGCTACTGTCATGAAAACTTGATTCACGGTGTATGGGAAGAGCAAATGCACTCACTTCTCCTAGTGTTGGACTGCCAGCTTACCAGGTACTGATTATGGTTTCCAACCTAGAAGAGGTAAATGAGATTTTAGCTTTGAGGCAAAGACAACTGATCTTTACTGGGTGTTAATCAATTGCTCGTTTCAATGAAAAAGCGGCGCATTATCTGTGGGACACTTTAGGCAAAGGAACTCATGAATGTGTCACTTCACAACACACGTTCATAACCTGAATCAATGAGTAAAACGCTATTCAAGTTGACAAACATCAACTGAGTGCAATTAGAATTAAAATCGTCCCACATTTCACTTGTCAGGAAGGATGACAACAACCACTCCTAGTAAAGGCCTTTGAAACTCGTCGATACTCTTAAGTTGTGATAACCAAATAGAGTGCATCGAAACCTCAATTTTCACTACATGAAGAACCACTCTCGACCTGTCAAATATTTCGCATTTAAGTAACCACTGATTAGAAAAAATAAGCTCACTTGACTCAGTTCTTCCGCTCTGCAAAAGCACGCCTTGGTTACCAGTGAGTTGTACTCACAACTAATATGTGTCCCCGACATGGACAATCTGATTAAATTTTGTCAGACATTGATTTCCAGTCATTTTTATGCCACTTGACAAATCACAAAATCAAACTTACTTGTTTTGGGGAAATCTCGTTTATATACGTGCTTTGCCATCTAAACCAGTGGGACTGGACACCAATCGGCAAAAACGTGGAAATTTAGCTGTTTGACTCTGTTTCTCTTCAATATGATTTTATTGTGGTGCATGCATCCTGCTGACAGCAAAAACAAAGAAAGCTCCACAGTAGCCTCATGGTCACAAGAACATTTTTGGACCATTTGTTGTTGCGGAAAACTTCAGCTAACCAAGTAGATTACGCCGTAAACCCTAACCAGGGGAACATAAGATAAAAAGAACATGTGGCAATCGGAGAGCAAATAAACCTGTTTCCGGGACTTATAACGCTGAAGCAATCAACAGAATGGAATGCCTTACAAGAAATCAGTCAAAAAAGGGAAACAATCCAAAAAGGGCTCAAAGATTTAGGAAAGACAAGGGTGTGAATAAGCCAGTTTCACAAGTATGAGTACATCTCAGATGCACTAACGAAGACTTAATAAACTCTGTCAAAGTTTCTCGTTGGGCCTCTGTTTGTCCTTTCAGAAATAACACAACATACTACCTTGGCTAGAAAACATTCAAGACATAGATGCTCACTGATCCGATTCAGTAAAGGTAATTTTCAGCGGCAATAGGGCGGACGTTTGACAACTTCATTTTGCAGACTTTCTAACTGTCCTGTGTTGTGATGAACATCTGCATACTTATGCGCTTCACGAAAGGTAGACGTCGTGTAATTTTAAGGACTACCAGGAATGGAATCGTTTTTTGATATTTGTCAGCAGGCTATCGTTTAATTTTGAAGAATCAATAGCATGAACCACGCAGGCGTACCGTGTTTATGTAACGCTGTTTACGTTAAAACTTTGCATAAATTAGTCAGATCCTGTGGGCGCTCTGTCGGTCAAAGTTGGGACTGAATTACTTGTCATCCTAGAGCGTACGCGTATGCGCTTCTGATTCACAAAAAGAGTTATAACCCACCTGTAATTCAGAAATCATTTTTTCACAAATACGCAAGGCAATGTGGATATGGTTCCGAAGTACGCTTCATCCGAAGTCCAACAACAAAAGTGTACCCCTTCGGTAAGTTCAATGACGAAAATTTTGCAACCCTAATAAATCTGTTTAAAACAAGCACAGTAGAAATTTTTATTAGTCATAATTTTCTGTCGCCTTTTCTTGTCTAGTGGATAAAATAAGATCAAGAAGTACAACAACTTGGCACTCAGAGTAAAATACTGGTTTTGCCAAGATGGTTACGGTAGCATTCAACTAGGCGAAGTTTAAAAACAGGCACAAATAGTGATCCGTTTGTTTGGTTAAACAAATTGGAAACAACCTTGATCCATCTTTTGTTTACAATTAAAAAGTTCGAAAATGTTTGTTTGTAACGCCAAAATCGAACAAACTGATCAGCAAGTTCAAAACGTGCACTTTTGATTACGGAAGCCAGATTGTCACTGTAACATGCAAATAAATATCTGGTGCATTCGAGCGAGTTATCTTTTTTAAAAAAATGTAAGTTTGACTTGAACTTCTTCTCTAGGAAAGCGAAGTATGCTGTATTTGGTTTATTGCAGACACTTTTTACAATTTTGGATTCCGAAGAAATTGACACACAAAACTCTACCTATATGTGTTAAAGGTTTTCACTATGTTGCGTAATGAGATTTGCGTTGAAAGCGGTTATGAATTTAATACGAATTACTTTTTTGATAATGATGATGATTTAGCTAGTTCATATTTTGCATCATTTCCTTACATCTACCTAGTCTGAACGTCTCGCCCAAAATTTACACGGGGACTTAGTTACCCTTGGTTTACACCACCTCTTGTGGTTTCATTATATTCCAGGCTTAGTATAATAACGTGGAAAATTGCTGAACTCGTCTACTTATGAGTGGAAGTGTCCATCTTTACTGACAGAAGGAACAAAAGGATATTTATTGTTTCCCTCCTGTAGGACAAGATCTCCGAAGTGACATAGGAAACTAGTTTTTTTACGTGTTTGTACTGCCTGGCAGATTTTCAAAATCTGATGACTGTTGGTTTCATTTCCTTTGGAGGAGAAACCGTGTGCTTTCCCAAAAAATGTCATTTTTGTACGCATACGAAGACACTAGAAGCTCATTTGTTTTGAGAATCTCTAGGTGTTGTAATCTTAATATCATGTTGCTTACGGACCAATCGAGGAAACGTCCAATATCGAGGAAAATGCGAGAATGTCTCCTCTATCGAATGTTGCTGAACTCAAGTTTTTTTGGGTTGATCAGTTACTGCAGCGCCTTCCTGCCAGTTATGCATCGCTTGAGCGAAGCTTTCAAATAAAGTATATCGGTGGGATTGGCCACGCGACTGTCGGGATTCAAAGAAGTGAAGAGACTGTTGCAGTCTGCACTTCTATTCATACACTTCAACCCCCCAACTGCTTATCATTCTTACAACTGACGCATCAAACCGTGGAGTTGGTGCAGTCATTGGTCACACATTCCCCGACGGTACGCAAAGGGCGATCGCTCATGCCGCAAGGTCGCTGGCTCTACCTGAACGGTCAGATTGAGAAAAACGCTAGCCATCATTTTTGGGGCGAAAAAGTTCCACAAAATACTTCACACCTGTGACGGATCACAAATCACTGCTGGGTATATTCGGTTCCAAGAAGGGTATCCCGGTATACACAGCCAACCATATACAACAAGGAGGCACGATTCGGCTCCGCTACATCTTTAACTTAAAGTATGCCTCAACTGAAAAAATTGGGCAGGCGGGTGCATTGACGCGCCTAATTGATTCCCATAAAATGGAACCAGAAGATATCGTCACAGCAACCGTTGCCGTCATACCGGAAGTCTGCGCTGTAGTGTTGAGGACTATGAACCAGCTACCCGTGACTTTTGGCGCGGTAGGAGGTGCCACCAAAAATGACAGCATACTAGAAAAGGCAATAAAGTACCACCAAGCCAGTTGACCAAAACCTGTCCATCAGGGGAACTCCGGAAACTTTTTCAACGACGGAGTTCATCATCTGCTGCCAGTGACTGTCTTCTGTTTGGTGACCAAAATATCATTCCCACCGAACTTCGCCACCGGGTCCTAGCACAGTTCCACAGTGGACATCCAGGGATAAGCCTCATGAAGGTCTTTGCTTGCAGCTATGTTTATTTGTTCAGTATGTATGGGTACATGGAGCAGGTATGTCGGAGTTGTTTCCGTTGAGCAGCTTCCCAGAAGTTACCCAACCGACAGTAGCCGTAGACTTGGCCACAGCCAGAAAAACCATGATCGCGCATCCATGTGGATTTTGCCGGACCAATTAACGGACAAAGCTTCTTCATCGTTGCCGATGCATTCAGTAAGTGACCTGAAGTTCTTATTATGTCTGAGACAGCAACGATGGAAACCAATACTGAACTGCGGTATTTGTTTCCAGTATTCAGTATCCCGGAAACTATAGTGTCCGACAATGGTACTCAGTTCACATTCCACCAGTTTGGCGAATTCGTTTAAAGACACGGCATCACACAAGTTACTTCCCCACCATTCCATCCCAACTCCAACAGTCAAGCGAAACGGTTCGCAGATACCGTTAGACGCGCGTTGACAAAAGCAGAAGGGGAAGAGACTATGGAAGAAGTCCTGAATAGGTTTTTGATTAATCATAGTGCAACTTCTAATCCACAATCTCTGGATGGTCGCTCTCCAGCAGAGATTATGAAGAACAGACAGTTGAGACTTGCCCATGACGCCATCCTGCCAACACGTACGTGTTTTCAATCACCAACAGGAGGGACATCAACGTTCAGGCCTGGAAAACATGTGCTTTCGAAGAAATATCGCCTTGGGCACCGAAGATGGACTGTTTGATTCGTCCATAAAAGAACCGGTCAGGTGATTAACAGCGTCCAGCTGGGATGACTGATATGGAAAAGATATAGCAGTCAGCTAGGGCCGACTGAGTGGCCGATCAAAAAAACGGAAGAACAGTAAATAGAGCTCAAACTGCTGCTTGAAAACTTTGACCTCCTGAGATCAGCACCAATACATACCGCTTCACATGTATCGTCCAAGACAGATTCATTACTGCAACCAAGATGCCATGCCGGTCGCGCCGGAAGGCTAGTGGAAATTTTCAACTTGATCCGTGTCGAATATCTTCCTTTGGAAGGCAAAAAGGGAGAAACATTAGGAGGGTCAGATTCCTGGAACCAACTTGAAACGCTGGCAATTTACTGAGACTCTAAGTCTTCACCAAAATCTTAATAGAAAATCCGGCAAGCATCCAGGCTAGTCATGCATTCGATCAATTCAGCAATAGCCTGGGTCGATGAAACTAAAATTCAAACAGCGTGAGGTCCCTTGTAAGTGCGGCACTCTTGCACGTGCCCGCTCGTTCTCAAAAAATCTGTTGTGTTCCTTATCAGTGAGTCTTTTTCCGGTAATAGGCACTAGAGCGAGAACAGCAGTCAGATTTAACCCAAAGTGGTACCCAGCGGTCAAAAACATAGGTCACTCCAACACCAACCATATTACGAGTGCATGGGAGGCCGCGCTCTAAGATCATGTGATCACCGATCGATTAGGAAACAACACGACAGATCAACACATAGAACCACCCGACTTAACAGTCAGTCGTCGTCGAAAGTCGGCACCCAGCTAGTAGCTCAATGTTTCATTCTGCTCCCTAACGTCGCTCTACTGATCTCACCTCAACTGGTGATGAATCAATCGCAATCATTTGCCCAGCTCAGTGAAACAACCAAACAACATTTACGCTTCCTGAGCTACAAGTATTCTTCTGGATAGAAAGTTGCCGCTTGAGGCGTTTGACAATAAATCGACTTAGAATTAGGCGGACTGACAAAAAAGCCGCATTGTTAATCAGTCCTAACGGATCAGAAATTAATACAGTACATGTGAATATTACCGTAACCAAGAGCTAGTTAAATAGAGCTTAAATGATTCTCTAAATCAGCGGTGTAGTTGTAAACATTATCTGGTGCACTAAATGAGTCCGCAGCTTTGGGTCCGCTTATGGCCCAAAGATCCGGAGAAATGATCGGCTCTGGAAATATTCGTTATAAATTTTTGAAGCTTGAGCAAACGTGCTCACATGAAAATGTCGTTCTCCTTTGGGGCATGTATAAATGGTGCATATGTTTATGTAATTCTGTTTTTTACCAGATATAAACAGAACTGAACAATGTCCGAGGGTATTGCGCTCAATTCTTCACCGGTAAACGCCATGGAACAATCCGAGAACAAATATCCTCGGGAACAGTCATTGGAAGCCAACGAAGGGGTTGAACATGAGTTGTGGTCTAACCAATGTGATTTCTTCTTATCCATCCTGGGATATGCTATTGATCTGGCCAACGTTTGGAGATTTCCTTATATTTGTTTCACCAACGGCGGAGGTGCGTGTAATATTGTGAATTAGTTAGTCGCAGCTTCTTTTGTGCACGTTATCGGAACCAGTTCATGTTCTTTCAGAGTTTAATAGATAGTTGAGGTTGGTGAACTACAGTAGGTCTTACCCCATCAGTTTATGACCGAACAGCTAAGTTTCATGCATAATTTACTTTGCTCTCATTATGATAACATACTGAATCAAAGAAGGCTTGTATGTATTACGAAAAATGTATACCTTTATTGGATGTGCAGTATATGCTTATCATTGTTTCGACCTCTTTTTTGTTTGCCACCTAAATCGATGTGCAAGGTGTTCACAAACTTTGGATGGAAGGGGTATTAAGAAGGGCGTTCAAGTTACTCCTGCAGGCTGTTTGATAGATGTAAAGATAATATTTTGTAACAGGAACATTCCGTTTTCTTTCTTAATCCTAAACTTTCAACTGGTAAAGCATGTTGCGTCCATTCATTAGACATTACACAAATACCTCCGACAGCTTTCAGGTACGGTGGCTGACAGAGCGATAAATTATATATATATATATATATATATATATATAT